TAAGCTTAGTTTCTGGGGACTTTTCTCTTTCTTTCTGAGCTAACTTGTCACCTTGGTTGTTCATAGTTTTAATGGACTATTTCTCTGCCTGGGCATCAGTGGAAGTGTATTTTGCTTCCCCCCGTCCCCCATTTTCCAGAAAGATTTATTATGTAAAGGTCTCTCTTTAGCCTGTTGCAAAGAAGGCACTTTTCTTTTGGTTTCCAGTAGGTGGTGTCTAAGCCTCTTGGTTCTTTGCTTTATATAAAGTCTTAATAACGCTTTTTAAATTTTCTTGTAGATATTGAATCACGCTCGCTACCTTCAGTTTCAGTCCCTGTCAGTGTCAGCGACAGACTCGGCAGCGTTTGCTCAGATTTCCTTTGGGCTCTGTGGCGATCAGTCTCGGAGGGTATGGGAGGACGGGCCCTCTGCGTTGGGGATTGGGGGCTGTAGCTCCCCTCAGTTTTGCAACCATGGCCAGCAAAAATCAACTCTTGTTCCTCTGTGGTCCCATCCCGCTTCTCTGCTTTCTGCCCCAATGACTGGGCCCTGCAGCTTTCCCAGGCAGGCTGTTTGGGGGAACTCGCTGCTCCTTCTCCCCTCTCCCTCCTTCTGCAGAGAGCTCCAGCGGCTTCGAGAAGCAGCTTCTTTATTTCTCCGAGTTCACCGCATGACACCCAGGGTTCTGTCCTGTGGTAGCTCTTATGCACAGATCCCATGCTCAGACGTGTTGCTGTGCAGTTTCTGTGATTTTTGTTGAGTTTTAGATGTTCAGCTTATTGTTGTTTCAAGGGGAGGAATCTGGGGACGTCTCTCACTCTGCCATGTTTCCAAAGCTTAAAATTCACTTTCAAATCCATTGGAGTTTGGATCCTACATGCTATAGTATAAAAGTGACAGAGCATTGGTAAAAAGCACTTAACTTATCCAAAGACATTTCACAGAAACAGCAACTAATAAATGTACTTCAGTTGTGCTTCTTTACTCATTATATTTTTAAAATTATTTACTCGTGATAATGGCATTAAAGAGCAGGGTTTTAAAAATGAAAATAAGTGTATCATAAAAAAGACAAATTGTCACAAAGTAGAGCCAAGTTTTTCTTTTGTTCCCTGACTTTTAAAATGTAAGTACCTACACATTATGAAATTTTACTAAAAATTGACCTTTGTTTGGAACAATCATTTTAAAATAAATATAAAGTAAATTAAAACAGAATGATAATTAGCCGTTCTAGGAATAAGTCATTAATTTTAACAAATCCTAAAAGAATTGTCCTGCAGACTTAGGAAGGGATATTGGCTTGATATATAAAATAAAATTTTAGTGTTTTCTTTTTTCTGAATTCTACCATATCTGAAACTTATTTCAAATTTGTATGATTTCTAAAATGCAGGTTAGCCAAATTGGTCTCACAAGTGAGATGGAGTGAATCAGGCATGAATGTCACACTAAGTACAGATTTTTCTCCCTGGGTCCTGAGAAAACCACCCACTCCACCACCACCTGTCATTGAAGACGACGATGTTATAATTATGAAAAAGTTCTACATTTCTCTTGGCGAGGTAAAAATACTAATGTTTCTTTGTGCTTAGCACTTTAATAAAACTTCTAATTTTTGAGACATGAATTTCTTTTGTACCACTTGAACAGGGAAAATTATTTCAAATACTTCTAAAGCAGATTTAACAAAAAAATTCTTGTGGATTTATGCTACCTCATTAGCTCTGCAACTCTTTCCTCTGAAATATAATGAACATTATCATCCTCATATGTGTGAGGAAACAAATTCAAGATTGAAGGACATGCTCAGTGCCACCTGGGAAACATAGGTAACTTGAATTATATCCATGGTTTCATTGTTCATTCCCAATTTTTACTTTTTGGATTCTATAACTTTTGTACAAAAAGATGATAAATTGGGTCTTTTCTCCTCTAATGTCAAGATTATTCCTTAGTAATAAAATGTGTTACTGTTTAACTCTTATTAGATAAATTTGCCCTTCTTGATTGGAGAAATGTTAAGTGTTATAAGATCAAACCTAGAATCAAATGTCCTTTTGGAGAGTCATGGTGCAGTGAAAACTGTTGTTTGAGTCTTGTCCTCTAATTATCAGATCTTCTCTCTGTGATTACACTTCCAATACATAATTCTATACAAAATCAGGAAAAGTGAAATATGTAGCCTATGTGTTGATATTCTAGTTTCTGTTCACAGTGGACATTGCTAATCATGGCAATTTTCCTACAGAAAATTGAGCAAGGACAGGGCCCCAAATTCTGTACAAATTCAGCACAGCACTTTAGGCAGGCACTTGCAATTGATCAAAGATGTCATACAAGAGGAGAACTACTTGCCATCTCTGTTGGAATGGACAGACTGATCCTATCTTACTTATCATTGTTTTCATGTGAGGCTTCTATTTAATTTTGTAGTTTGGCATTTCTATCAGTGATATTTGTTTAAAATGTTTAAAATTATGCTAGTTCCATTATTTGCACTGAGTAATGCTTAGGGATGTACCAAAGGCACATTTTTCTTCTCTCTTGTACTTATTTTTAAGTATTTATTTTTTCAGCTAACATATATTGCAGAAATGCCAGGAATATCAAAAGATGTACTGATAGTAAGGCTCAATAAACATGCAAAGGGAAGAATCCATCTAGGGGAGTAAGTTCTGATTCTTGACATGTAAATTTAATCAAACAGAAGAGTAAAATCCAATCTAGTTTTCTTTTGCTATTTTCTTTGATAAAAACTCATTTCTGTCCACATGATTAATACTTAAACTATATATTATCTTTTTAATAGCTTTTGAACTTTGAAAACTCAAAGTTCTTTGGCCCCTAAATCATTTAAACCATGACTATAGATAGGAATTAATCTTTATGATAATGGGTAACATTTCTTTGAGTCTTCAGTTACACCATCTAAACATGAACAATTGGATCATCTCTTAAGATTATAAAGTAAAATAGTTAACTGCCTTTATGTCTGACTCACTACTTCTTTCTCCCCTGTCTTTTACACCCTCATCTTTTTTTGTGCAGTTGAAACAACAGGGAGTCTTATATACTGGTCTTCTCAATTCCTTGAAAGTTCTCTAATCATTTTGGTCTCTCAGTGCTTAGAATACTGTTTGGAATAGAGAAGTCACTCAATAAATATATGTTGAGTGAACATATAATTAATAATAAATGACTTGGTTTAAAAGGAAAGAAAAGAGGGAACAAAAGGAAATTAGAGTCTTTCAAAGTGTGGGGGTACAAAAAAATAATTTTCCTTCCACTTTCTAAGTTCTTCCAGCTGGGCTAATAATCAAATTAATATGAGACAAATTAAAAGGAGAAAACGTCCAAAATTTATTACAGTATGCATGTGGGAGTGCCATAAAAATATGAGACCTGAGAATACATCGGGCCCTTGAGGTTTATATGCCATTCTGGGCTAAGGAGGAAAGGTGGGCAGGAGTCTGGAATTTCAAAGGGAAAGTAACCAATTCGCAGGTAGCCAAGAAAGAGAAAACATGTGATAAACAAATTCTTACTGGGCTACCTAAAAACAATGAGACACTAAAGAATGTTCAACAAACAAGCTTTGCTGGATTTCTCCCCATCTGTCACATTTAGTTCCTATTATGATGCTAAGGTGATACACACTTCTTTTAAGGAGATTTTTCTATCTTAATTCCTTTAGGCAGGTAAGGGGGTGGGTCAAAAGTTTTTTGTTGTTTTTTTTTTTATCTTTTTGTTTTTGCTCTTCTTAATAAGTAGCTTAAAATCAATATCCCAGAGGTATAATTTATGGTGGCAAAACTTTGGTCCTCCTGAAAAGCTTTTATCCCAGAAAACCTTACCTCTAAGAAAAGCAGTGACTACATAGATGGCATCTCTCATTTCTCTTGCTTTTCGTCTCATTGTGTGGCCTCACTTGCCCTGCTGATTACATAAAAGTCAGAGAACAGTATCTATTCATTCCATTTGAGCCCTGCCTCTTCTGTGAGTGTTCTTAGGCTAAAGGCCAACCAGCTGACTGAGTTGGAGAAAGGAGTAATGAGAGTAATGCTGGAAAATCCCTTCTCTGCTTCTGTTGAACAAACTTGGGTTCTCTTAGAAAAATAGGTGAGAGAGGCAGCCAGAGGAATTTTCCTCAGAAGGCTAAGATAAGGGGCTTCTGAGAACTGGGGTTCTAGAAGCTGAGGGTCAGCTTGGGAATTGGGTCAACTGGCTCAAGGGTACACAAACCAAAGTGTTACTCTTGAGGATCGGAGTCTGGTGTCACCCCAGTAGCCGATGGGAAGGAGAGGGAGGGATAATGGCAGTGCAGAAGTGTAGTTAGCATTTTTCCTCAATTCTTCCTCATGAAGGCAGTGAAGAATCACAGGTCATTGAGATTTTAAAAAGATTTATTAAAAGTATATTTTAGAAAGACAAAGAATACCTCAAGGAGGTACATTGTCCTAGTGCTATAACCAACACAGAGGGACCACAAAAAGACCACAAAAAAAGGAGAGCTCAGAAGTGGGAACATTTGCCTTATATTTCGGCCGTGATGGGGTGGTTCCAAAGGCATTCCTAAATAATTGGCAAGTGAGGTCATTTTAATTGATACCTGCCTGTTATATAACTCTTTGCCTGGTGTGCATGTGCTTACGCAGAATACAGTCTGTTATAATTAGATTCATGAACTTCCAGGAATAAACATAGTATTATAATGAAGCTTAAATTGTAGGCAAATTAGGATAGTACGGTCTGCACAGGCGTCTGTAGCCAGCGTAGGCCAGAGTGACTCTCCCCTCCTTTGTCTCTGGGGATGCAGGAGGGATTCTCTAACTATCGATAAGATGTTCTTTGGGCAGTCTCTTGGCTGGGCTCCTATTCCTTTGTTCCCCCTGTCACTCATGGCTGACTAGCTACCTAGCAAAAGGAAAAGTTGAAGCCTACATCCTGGGGCAGGTGGAATCAGAAGTCAGTCTTCAGGAAGCATATGATCCATGCAAAGTTGTGAAAATTGAATCTAAGGCAAAGTGGCAGTTGAGCTTGGAGACAGTTCCTGTGCTACTGAGTCTTTGTAATATTAGGGAGGGGTTATTAAAAACTTTGAGCCAGATCAGACAGAATTAGGGGCATGAAATAATTGGGAAGATTGTAAATGGGAATGGCTGGCAAAAGATACTTCCAAAGACTGATGAGCCATAGTGACTGCCTAGTTAAAGTGAGATAACACGAATCTGCAGTGAATCCAGGAAGTAAGGTTGTGTGCCTTTGGCGGAAGAGTGGAGAAGAATTTTATAATATTATATTTTTCCTGTGGTCATCTAATATGAAAATTATCTGAACGGAAATTTCCTTCCCATTGTTCTTTTAGCTAATGAATTTTTCTATGGACAACCCTTTTATTTCACAGGGTTTATTTCCTTACATACTATATTATACAAATTAAATAATATCAAAATGATTTGTACAGGTTTGTGATTGGAAGAATACTGCTAATCTTACGTTAAACAAATGTGCTTCTTTCTTCCTAGGCCTCCTATACTCAAGCAAAAGATTGGTTTGCATTAGCAAAACAAAGTCAGCAAACAGTATCAACCTTTTCATTACCATCTTATGTACTCCACAGCAAAATTGAATCACCAGTTATTTCATCTGTTTCTGGTAAGCAGAAAAGGGCAGGAATGACTTCAGAATTCCTCTTTAAGTCTCCTGCTTTTATTGTTCTAATCTTACAGTACAACACTTAGTGGTTGGGAAGAAAATATTATCTACCCACCATCCCCCAACTCCACTTTCTTTTGTTTATCAAGAGGCAACTTGGTATAATGAAAAAAAAGATGGCTTTAGAACTCAACTCTGATACTTATTAGTTATGTGACTTTTTAAAGTTATTTCACTGCCAGGAGCCTTGCTTTTCTTATTTGTAAATTTAGAATAATGATACATGCTAAATGTATAGAAAATGGCTGGCCTAGTGCTTGGTACGTAATAGACAGTCAATAAATGTTTGTCTTTATTTCCTATCACAGATTACAAATTCTTTTTATTAAGCCTTTGAAATAAAGTGGGTACAACCTCTATCTCCTCTTAAAAGTAAATAGTCACTCATGGAACTTAAGTTTTCCTTCTGTTTTTAAGATCACATTATTTTTCACCTTGAAAAGCAGATAAATTTCTCTGGTGGGCAACTTTTGTGGATGATATAAATTTTTCATAAAATTGGAAGCAACTTTCCAGAAATGGGAATCATTAATGTATGATATCACTGAAGAAGAAAAAAATCTAGCAATGTGATTCAGGAGAAGAACTCAGCCATTTACTAATAGTTCTTACCTAAGCAACCTCCAGGATGATAAATCTGGATGTTCTAGAATTGAACCTAAATCTAGGTGAAGAGGAAAATAACTCCCTAGTTGAAAATAGCTGAATTATAGGTTTCTTGCAGTTTCCCCAAGATAGTAAAGTAGAAAATTGGAGAGTAAAGATAGTGAAGATAGTAAACAGGAAGAGAGAGGTAGCAGGAAGGGGGCTGAGCAGAAATGCCAGCCTCGTTCTCTACATCCAGTTCTGTGGGGTTGAGTCTATACCTAGTATCCTTTCATAGGTTTGCAAAAGTCTAATCTCTCAACATTGGGAAATTTGGTATATTTCTTTTCAATAAAAATTGTAATGAGACACTTCCAGTTCATTGAGATTTAAAATCTACTACTGAGAAAATGGTCATTGACGATGAGACACAGATGACAGCAGAGTTTTCCTGATCCATGGCATTTCAAGGGGTAGATTTGCCATGTGCAAGCACTGATTTCAGATATTTCTGAAAGAAAGAGAAAATAGAAGCTAAAAATTGTATCTTTAGAAAAAGTATAAAAACATCCATTTGTATTTGGAGCTTTCATAAGTACCTTATGCTATTTCGTAATTTTAATGATAGGTCGTATGTATAATAGTAATTGAATCTTTCTGATTAAATAGTGAATTTTTAAAAATTGCTAATGTGACTCCAGTTCTGATATGTTTACCTATGGTCTCATCATCTGTGGTAGCTACTTTTATTTTATCATACAACATGAAATATTAAAGCACATACAGACATATCTCAGAGATATTGTGTGTTTGGTTCCAGACCACTGTAATAAAGTGAATATCACAGTAACACAAGTCACACAAAGTTTTTGGTTTCCCAGTGCATACAAAAGTTATGTTTACACTATACTTTAGTCTATTAAATGTGCAATAGAATTATGTCTAAAAAACAATGTACATACCTCAATTTAAAAAATATTTCATTGCTAAAAAATGCTGCTCAACATCCAAGCCTTCAGCGAGTTGTAATCTTTTTGCTCATGGAGAGTCTTGCCCTAATAACATCAAAGATCACTGATTACAGGTCACCATAACAAGTATAACAATAATGAAAAAGTTTGAAATATTGTGAAAATGGCCAAAAAGTGATACAGAGACATGAAGTGAGCAAATGCTGTTAGAAAAATGGCACCAATAGACTTCCTTCACTCAGAGTTGCCACAGACCTTCAAGTTGTAAAAAACACAATATCTGTGCAGTGCAGTAAGGCAAAGTACAATAAAATGAGGTATGTCTATACAGTCATTTAATGTACATATTCTAATTCTTAAATAGATTTGGCCTTTATATATTGACCTTCTGTATCAGCCTTTAAAAAAATGTATTTTTAAGTGTATAATGTCTTTTTGAAGATCCTCTGCATTAGGGATGTCAAATATGTAGTTTATCTGCTATATATCCATTATCCCTTCCACATCTAGGGAAGACATGACTAATCTCTGTCGGTAATGTTTTTGCTTTGGACTCCTCTTTAAGACACTGGTCTGTGCAGTCACTGCCTGTGATAAACCCTTTGTCATTCTGGCTCTATGACATCTAGTTAATAATAAAAAAAAATATTTTGTATTCATATCTGATCTATTAACCTTTCATATTTAATACAGAGAGTTTTATCTTTGATGATGGAGTTCACCCCAGAATGAAAAAGGACCCATCTAAAACCACTAGATTAATTTCTGAATTTGAAGAAGAAAAAGATGATGATGGTTCTATATCTCTACAAGACACTCCTTCTCAAGCTCTTCTGAGAATATACCTTGAAAAGCAGGATGTTCATGACAACACGACAGTGCATTTCTCAACATATGAAGATTTTTTAAGATCTTTTATAACCTTTATTTTGAGACTAGCAATTTATGGAGAGCCATTTAGTGAACAACCAGGTCATATAAATTTCAAAAATGTAACAGAAGTTACATTTGATGACTATTTTGAGCTTATGCCTAACAGGAATGTTTTGTTAAGTGAAACAGTTCAACCCACAAAGGAAAAGGCAGAAGAGATTTTAGAAGAAGCAAGTTCAAAGAGTGAGAGCATTGGATCAGAAAGCAGGGCTGATTGGTGTATTTCTCACAAAACTTATGACATTGGAAATAGAAAAGAGTTTGAAAGATTTAAGAAATTTATAAAAGGTACATTAGGGGAGAGATATTTGTGGCTATGGATGGATATTGAGAGGTTAAAGGTTCTTAAGGATGCTGGAAGACATCAAAGGTATTTCTCTTTTTAATTTTTCTTTAGTTTTAAAAACAAGTTGTAGACTATTAGTTTGGGTCATTTAAACACGGGTAGGAAGCCTGAAATAAATATTAAAAAGTAATCTATACTTTTAGAGTAATGAATGATATTATTATTATTATATTGATGTCACTAGTTCTATGATTTTATAGTTTTCAGATAATAATAGTAGCAATTATTTGGGTTTGCATAAGTTTTTCCCATAGATATAAACCTGCTTTCAAATTAATCATTCTATACTATTTTTATAACATTACAGTGATATATTTTTATAGAAAAAAATTATCAGTCATGTATCACACTGACATAACATGCCTTATATAAAAGATACCTTGTGACAATGTAAGGGCCTGCTGTTCCTGGCAGCTTTCCTGATTAACGGATTCCATGATCTTATTTGGATGTCACTTAGACATTTATATGTGAATAAGATATCTGCTAGGTATCATACTGGATATCCTCTAGAGAACTTCTTGGAGTGCCGGTCTTTGTTTGGCTGCTCTATATGTTTTAGATTACTGTGAGTCTTAAGAACCCTAAGAAGACCCTGTTTTAGAAAAGTTCTTGTCTGTGTCCTCCTGATCTGCTCTGAGTAAGCAGATCAACTACAGTAGATTGCAGTTCCCATTAGGGGTTTGACTGAATACATACTAGTGACTAGGCTATTCCAGTTATTTCAATGGCATTCAGATCAAAGAGCTCATTATTATACATAGTTAGAAGTGCAGGGATAACCAAATGGTTGATTATGAAGCATTACCTGATTGATCCTGGGGTGGAAGGCCACTATCACTTTTCAAGACATATTAGGAAAGTTATATGTAAGTAGCCTATATAGGTTCTTCATGATCAATATTGTATTAGTTCTTTTCGTTACAGCAAATCACTATGAATTTAGTGGATTAAAGCAACACAAATTTATACTCTTACAGTTAAGAGGTTAGAAGTTTAAAATGGATATGCAAGGTGGCCTTCCTTCTGGAGGCCCTAGGGGAGAATTTATTTCCTTACCTTTTCCAGTTTCTGAAAGCCACCTACTTTCCTTGGTCCATGGCCCCTTCCTCCAACTTCAAAGCCAACAGCATGCCATCTTTTCTTTTTTTCTGACCTTTGCTTCTATCCTCACCTATTTTTTCTATGGCTCTGATCCTCTTGCCTTTCTCTTCAAAGTACCCTCGTGATTATATTAGGCGTACCTTGATAATCCCAGATAATCTCCTCAAATCCTAATCACATCTGCAGATCTTTTCTAAAGTAAGGTAACAGTCATAGGTTCTGGGAATTATGAAATGAACATCTTTGCAAGGTCATTCATTATTCAGCCTACCAAAAATACCCTTCCCAGTCCCATAATGGTGAGAAATACTTTTATCTTCACACTGGTACAACTGTAATTCAGTGTTGGTTTTCAAATAGTTCATTACTTGTCTCAAACATTTTAGAAGTGAAAATTTTTGGCTAGTTGAATACTGTATCAGTGTGTATATGTGTGTGTGTGTGTGTGTTTTATTGCAGACATCTTGAGAAGATGAAAAAATGCTATCTAGTGAGCAGTGGAGATTGCTACCTTTCTGCAGAAATTTTAACGAAGTTTAAACTGCTGGATGGATCTCAGTGGAATAAAGAACATTTAAAGAATATTCAGACTGAGGTTATAAAACCCTTACTTCTGTATTGGTAAGAAAGATAATGTGACTCAAAATTACTTGCTTTCACTTTTCTTAGACTAGTTATAAATTATACCTTTTGTTTTATAGGTATGTAACTTATGGAAATTTTAAATGACAAGATTATTATACTTTTAGTCTTCTTTAAATAAAGTACTTATCTTTTAGATAATTTGGATGTTTGGGGACTTTAAATCCATAATAAGGCTAGACAGTACTTAGGCTCCATGTTAGCTTTATGAACACATCCTTCTACATCTGACCTTTTTATGGTTGACATCTCATCAAATTGATGTGTGTATGTGTACATGTAGCTAGAGTTGCAGATTGATTATTTCAATAAACCTTTTTTGAGCACTTACTATAGGCCAAGTGCTATGCTAAGGATACAAGGGTAAACATGGTCAAGTCCAGTGTTTATAGTCTAGTGGTAAGAACATACATGTGAAAGAAGTATAATAAAAAATGTGGTGAATGCACAGGATACAGAGATGAGGTAATATTTCAGCTGGGACTCGAGGGACTCTAAGCAAGGAAAAGAGAATGTACACAGTGAAGAAAAGGTGTGACATTTGAGGATCAGTGAGCTGTCTGTCCATTGTGGCTGTGATGGATCTGATTATGTCACTGCTATGCTTTAAATCTTTCACTGGTAACCCCAAAGCTTTCAGTGTAAAGTTCAGATTCCTTAAGTTAGTAAATAAGGTCATCATGATTTTTCCCTTGCTTACTTCTCTGTCATCATCTCCCATCTAGGTATTCCAGATTACTTAATATGCTTTGTACTAGTTCATAGATAGAATGTTGTTTTTCTGTTTATTTCTTAAAAAAAAAAAAATTTAAGATACAGAAAGTTATAAATTATACTATAGTGGTCATCTGTGTACATACCACCCAACTAATAACACATTAGCAATGCAGTAGAAACTTTCCTTTTTCAAATTTAACTTTTTATTTTGAGATAATAATAGATCCATATTCAGTTATCAGAGATAATACAGAGGGATTCTGTGTTATCCACTTCCCCCTACTGGTAACATCTTGCATAACTGTCACACACTGTCACAATGAGGAAGTTGACATTGATTTAACTCATCGATCTTTTTCATATTTTACCTGTTTTAGGCACTTGTTTGTGTATATAATTCTATGCAATTTTATCACATTAGAGATTCATGAGTTTGCTACTACAGTCAAGATGTAGAGAAGTTACATTACCATAAGCATCCCTCATGCTGACATTTTATAATCACACCCACCTCTCTCCCTTCCTGTCACCCACATCTCTAGAGATCACTATTATATAAATGAAATAATATGACGTATTTCTTTAGGGGTTATCTTTTTTCATTCAGCATGATTCCCTCGAGACTCATCCAAGTTGTGTGCATTGATAGTTCTTTTTCATTGCTGAGTAGTATTCTATTGTATGGATATTACACATCCATTCACACACTGAGTATTAAGGTTGTTTCCAGTCTTTGGCTATGACTAATAAAGCTGCTATGAATGTTCATGTACTCCTTTCTGCATGAATATAAGTCTTCATTTCTCTGGGAAAAGTGTCCGAGAGTGAGATTAGTGAGTCATGTAGCAGTCCATTTTAGTTTTAAAATAAACTGCCAAACTATTTTTCAGAGTCAATGTATCATTTTACATCCCACCAGCAATGTATGAATTATCCACTTTCTCTGCATCCTTGCCATTGTTCAATGTCATCACAATTTTCTGTTTTAGCTGTTCTAATAGGTGTGTTGTTCTATCTTATTATAGTTTTACTTTGCATTTCTCCAATGGTTAATGATGCTGAACATCTTTCCGTGTACTTATTTGAAATTTGCATATCCTCTTCAGTGAAATATCTGTTCATGTCTTTTGTCCATTTTCTAATTGGTTTGTTTTCTTGTTAAGTTTTAGGGTAATTTTTATATCATATTTTATATTAAATTTTATATTCTAGGTAGTAGTTTTTAGTTTGCAAATATTTTCTCCCACTCTTTAGCTTGTCTTTTCAAATACAGGCTTTCTAAAGACTTCTTAAAGGGACTCTCAGATGTTCCAGGTTGACGAACAGGTGGAGACGAGGGCATACTCAGAGAGCACAGAAGCTCTAGCACTTCCCTCACACCTTGCCCTCTGCATCTCTTCCTATGGCTGTTCTTGAATTATATACATCCTTTTGTAATAAACCAGTATCAATATAAAGCAAATAAGGAAAAGTGTTGTAGATAATGGGAACTACAAATGAGAATTACAAATATAGACGAGAACAGAGTGAACTCTGTGGTGATGGACTGGAAATGGAAGTGCAAATGGAAATTGTGACTTTCACAAACTCAAGTTATCATACTCAGTTATGAAGACTGTAATTCACTGAAAAAACTGGACAAACCAAACAATAGACAGTCATGATGACAAGAAAGAACAGAACTTGCAAGAGAAATTCTGAAGTTAATTTCATGTGGGATTTTCCCTGGGAGGGTGGTGTATTGGGGAATGAATGGCCTCTAAACAAAGGTTCCAGAGAAGTCTTATGCCAAACATTTCCTTAGGGTAGGGGAAATAGCTCTTGAGTCAAGTTTATTCGACCAATGCAAACTTTCCTGCATCAAATGTTCCTGCCCGTACCTACTATTAAGAATAATAACTGTATCTGAAAGACAAAAAAATAAAAAGGTGAGGGGTCTTTCATAGAGCAAAATTTAAAAGTTTTGACAAGGTCCAATTTTTCAACTCCTTTTATGGATTATGTCTTCTTCAGTGTCAAACCTAAGAACTCTTTGCCTAGTTTTAGGTACGGAAGATTTTCTCCTGTTTTTTTTTTTTTTCTGAAACTCTTATAATTTTGTTTTACATTTAAGTCTGTGGTCCATTTAGAGCCAATTCTTATAAGAGATGTGAAGTTTAGGTGTTTTGGTTTCTTTTTTCTTGCTTATGGATATCCATAAGCTGATCTTCATTTATTGAAAAAGCTAATCTATCTCTTTTCTTCTTTTTGGTGTATTATATTTACCTATAGTAATATTGAATTGTATAGATTTATGTAAAGCACTATGATAATCAAGATACAAACATTTCTGTTACCTCCAAATTTCTCATGCTACCCTTTTGTCATTACACTCTTCCTCCACTCCTCACCCTTGGCAACCACCGATCTTGTTTTTGTCACTATACTTTTGTCTTTTTGAAAATGTTATATAGATAAAATCATACAGTACATAACCTTTGAGACCAGCCTCTTTTGGTCATAATGTGATTGAAGCATAACGCGTTCAAACTGTTGCATGTATCATAGTTCGTATTTTTTAAAATTTAGTTTTCCAGTTGTTTATTGTTGGTAAATAGAACTAGGATTGAATTTTGTGTGTACTCACTCAGTATTAGAGAGGACAGAAGGCCTTCTGGTCTAAGCTGCTAATCTCAAATTGGTCTGCTGTGCTTTTCTGCCTATTTTAGTGCTCTTCCATTCTCAGGTCCTTCAGACTCTTCCTCCCCCTGCCTCTCGGCCTGCATGCCAATACCATGTGGGCCTTATGGCTGATAGCCTCTGTCTGCCTGCTTATATTTTGGTGTTTGTGGGAATACCTTGTCACATTAACATTTTTGCTGTAGATGTTGTCCTTGAGTATTTGATTTTGCTGTCTACTCGTCCTGTGTTTTTATGGAGGGATTCTGAGAGGTAGAAAAACAACATAGCCGACATTGCCATTTTCCCAGAATCCTCTCTTAGCTTTTTTCTTGATCTAGCTATATCTTGTATATTCTTTAAATTTCAAACTAAGACATAAACAGTTAGTGAATATTATAAAGCAAACACTTCCATAAACTACCATGTGGGCTGAGAAACAGACCGTTGCCTAGACTCCTGAAGGTCCCTTCCTAATCACAACATCCTCACCTCCTTCAGAGGTAACCATTATCCTGACTTTTGTGATTATCATCTTCTTGCATTTCTTTAGTTTTACCAACCATGTATGCAAATAAATCTCTAAACATATATTTTTATCTGCCTCCTATACAACTTTCTATAAAAGGTATCATGTTATGTGCATTCTTTTGTATCTTCCATTAACATTACATATGTGAGATTCATTTGTAATTGCATTCAAGAGTTTTATTAATTTTCACTGCTGTATATGGTATTCTACTGCATGAATATACTATAATTTATTTGTTGTTTTTTTAACATTTGGGTTTTTCTCTACTTTTCACAACTATAAGCAATAATATATATTCTTATACACATATCTGCTTTCCCAAAGTAGTTTTACCTTTGCTCCCACCAACAGAATATGAGAGTATCTGTTGCCACAAATCCATGGCAGAATTTAATATTGTCAGACTTTAAAATTTTTGACTATGTATGTGGTGTGTTATTGATGTCTTGTGGTTTTAACTTGCATTTCCCTGATTACTAGTGAGGTTGATAACCTTTTCAATGTTTATTGGGCATTTGGGTTTCAAGATTTCAATTTTCATGAATTGCCTGTTTATCTTCTTTGCCCATTTTTCTATTGGGAGACACACACACACAGAATATAGTTCTTTTGATGCTATTTAGTGGCAAATATCTTCCACTCTCTAGAGCTTGAGAATTAAGAAGTGTACAATGAGTGCACATGAGAACTTGTATGATAGAAACATGAAAAATAATACAATACCAGTTTAGGATTGTGAAATTTACTCCACAATATCTGATGAATTCACATAGTAGCTAATAAAAAATTAATATAACAAATGAAATAAGATGCAAGATTAAAATGGTAGGGGTAGCAGAGACTTAGGGGTCATATGAGTATACTGTAATGATGGGAATCAGAAAATTGAGACACCTGGATTTCCTACCAGCACATGTATTACATATTTGATAAGAATCTTGTATATATGTCCACTTACTGGTTGACATGCAAATAAGAGGTAATTCTGCATAGTTTCAAGTCAGTAAGTAAAAGTTCTGAAATACAGCATAGAATGACCACCCCAATCTACACAGGATACTTTCTGATTCTAAACCGATTGTGAGCTTTGGATTCTCTTCCACTCCCAACCTGTGTTCACACCAGGGAAATATTTCCCTTCTTCCTATTTTAAAAGGAGAAAATTTTCTACCAGGATCTGAAATATAGAGTGGGAATTAGTCTTTGGGCTGTGGCATCAGGAGGAAAACCTGGTCCAAGCAACAATTAGCAGTGTCACTGGCAGCAAGTTAACCCTATGGCCAATAAAGAGTAGCCCACAGACTGAATACCAGGCTATACATCCAATTAAATGTGGCCTTGATATTGTGCCAGACATTCTTTGCCAATAGTGTTGGCCTTTCATTTTTATAAATTGTTGTAAAATTTATTCTTACCTTCAAAATTAAGGCTTGAAAATAAATCATGTGAATCATAATCCACTTTAGCAGTTTACTTAAATTAAGCATTATAAAAATGTTTGTATATTTAAAAATTTAATTTCATTTACCAGTTTTTATTTGGTACTATAGATAAATACTAAACTACCTTAAAATTATCACAGCTGCATTTTATGCTCATTTTACTGGAAACTGAAAGTTACTTTAAAATTTTTCTTCATTGAATAAATATATAGGTTTTTTTTCTTATCATGTAGATAATAATTTAAATGTCACTTATAAGTTATTTTTCCCTAGTGTGTGTTTACTCCTTATATGGGTGAATATGATTTCAGGCAGTTGATCTATCATGGAAAAATATTTTTCTTAAGCTAGGAAGCAGAAAAAGAAGTAGAAATTATTAGAAAAGGGGTATAACAAGACTGAAAATTGTGAGCACAAGTATTATGCACTTTGTACGCTCTTGATTTTTGAGGCTTATTGGGTAGTTTAATCTTAAATTTCTTTTCCTCTCACTAGGGCACCAAGATTCTGTGTTACTCATTCATGCTCAATAAAACATGCTAGTGCTGAACTGAAATTGTGGCACCTCCGTCAAGAGAAACCAAGGAAGGATGTTGACCCTTTTCCACAAATGGCAACACTCTTGCCATTGAGACCTAAATCTTGCATTCCACAGATATCTGATACGAAGGTAGGGTGTGCATTGATACTTGAGTCTCTTCATTAAGTTTATAGTAAAATGTCCATGCTTGAGTTTTGTACACTAATACTTAAGTTTCATCATAAGCTCCTCTCCCATCCCCTCCCTCCTCCCCTCCCCCCTCCCTTCTCTTC